GAGGCAGCGCACAGGGCCTAAACAGGTCTGTACCAGGTCCTCTGTGTGTATATTATGGCTTCCAATTTAGTGAATTTCATGGGATTCCTGAGTGTGCAAATGAGTGGGTCTCTGTTTCTTGTGCCTTCTCTTGAGCTCTTTTCCTTGTTTTTGTTTATTTGTGGTTGTTTTTTTTTTGTCCAATGTGTTAGTCTTTGTTTTATCTTATTTTATGTTTATCCATTAGAAACCTCTTAGTTTTCTAGTGAAAAACACAGGGAGAGTGGATCCACAGGGGAGATGATGTGGGGAGTAACTGGAAGGAGTGAAGGGAGGGAAAACCATAATCATGATATATTATGTAAGGAAAAAAAATCTATTTTCAAGAAAATATTAAGGAGAAAACAAATAAATATTAATCATCTGTAAGAATAAATTGCAATAAACAAATAACTATAGTAGTCAATTTTAGGAGTTTATACACCCAAGATTTTTTCACAGTTTATAGCATCTACCAAGCACTTGAGGAACATAATTTTTAGTTATTATTTAAATATTCCATTGTAACAAAAAAAGTCTATGCAGCCAACTTAATTATCTTTTAGTTTTTGCCTACCTACAAGTATTTCATTGACTACATAAACTGATTCAAAATAAAAAAAAAGGTAATAGACTTACAATTATTTAGTAAAATTTTGGTGACTAGCACTGTGAGCTTATGGTGCAGAAGTTGTTTGGTGTACCGTTGATCCATCAAAGTTTGGTCTAATCTGACTGAACCTTTTATCTCATGAAAGAATATATAAATATTTTTTTCCAGAGGTAATGACCTTTATCATGAATTCTTTCAGTAAATGACACTGACCTCTGCTGGTAACCTAGGCTTCAGGGTACCCATCTAGCTATGGAAAGCACTGCTTTAGCACAGGTTAAGATTTTATTGTTTCTGACATTAGGTAGAGAGAGAGCCCAAATTGGAGAACTCCATTGGTTCCCTCCCATTGGAGCTCAAAAAAGCCCTAGGAACAGCAGAAGGAAGAAATGTAGGAGCCAGAGTCATTAAGGACACCAGGAAAACACAGCCCACAGAGTCAACTAAGCAGTGCTTATAGGAGCTCATAGACTGAAGTGACAATCACAGAGCCTGACTGGTCTATGCCAGGTCCTGTACATATATGTTTGGTTGCGTAGCTTAGGGTTTTTGTGGGACTCCTAACAGTGGAAATGGGGGTGTCTGTGACTCTTTTGCCTGCTCTTGAGACTCTTTTTACCACACTGGGTTACCCCCACACTGTAGCTTGAGTTTTCCTGCCTTGCCCACAGTCAGGACAAATCTTTGTCACCCGCCAGTCCCACAGCTGCTCAGACCCAACCAAGTAAACACAGAGACTTATATTGCTTACAAACTGTATGGCTGTGGCAGGCTTCTTGCTAACTGTGCTTATAGCTTAAATTAATCCATTTCCATAAATCTATACCTTGCCACGTGGC